AGCAGCAGCGAGCAGGTACTTGGTGTTGCTCTTCAAACCATTTCAAAACATCCTTGACCTCAGGGTTTCTCACCTTCGGCAGAGCATCGCTCTTTGTAGCCTGCGCGCAGCGGAAGACGGAGGAAGGAACCTGCAAATTTGCCTTTTCGCACCCGGGGATGGCAGTAGGCTTGGTGTAACGATGGGCTGGGGCTGGGGGCTTCCCACCGTGAGGTTGGCCATCGTTAGTCCGTTTGAGTGCACCGTCATGGACACGGAAAGCCCTCTGCCTTCGGGCCCTTGATGCAGTTCAGAGCTCTTGAGAGACTGGGCCTAACACTTTGCCATTTGAATGTGAAATGTGGAAAAATCCTAAACCTCTTACCTGCTGGCTCTGGTTTCCCCCTCATACCTTTAATACCTTTTAATTCCCTGAGGAATTCTCCTGTATTGTTTTTTTTCCTTATTGTTGCAACCCTGTCTATGCTTCTGTCTTGTAACACGGGTTTGAAAATGCAGATGAAGAAATGGCACATGCCAAAGTCTTATTAGTGTTCAACTTCACAACTGAACTTAATTTACCTGAAAACTCCAACCCCGATGCTGTAGCTCTCAGTGTAGCAGCAGCATGACTACAGGTCCAGATCTTGAAGTCTGGAAAGATGGAAATATTTGAGATTGTGGAGTTTGGGGGGTTTTTTGGATTTTTTTGCTCTGCAAGGAGGATTCATTGAAGAAAAGATAGGAAGAATGGTGAAGATAGGCTATTAACAGCTGTGGTGTGCATTAGCTTGGTGTTGGGGTGAGTGGGGTACCTGGAGGTCTCTGACAGCCGGGGTGCTGCTCCGGCGGTGAGGAAAAGCTGGTGCGAACAGCTTCCCCAAGCGGCCGGCTGTCGGCGTTAGCCATCCCGACAGGCAGTGCTTTCCCAGTGTGGTAGTGCTGATCAGTGCAGCCTCCTCGTATTAGAAATGGGGTAACTTCATCAATGTGGGGGTTTTATTAGTTCTCAAGTATCACTAATTTCTTTCTTACTCCTTTTTTTTTTTGTTTCTTTTTAATGGGCAGATCCAACACCTTCAAACCCAGTCCAGAAGGTTCCTCCTTCCACGGCTACAGAAAAGCCATTAGTCAAAACTGCTTTTGCTAGGCAGCTCAGGAATGATCCTACAGAGTGTGTGGCTGCTGCTAAGAACGATCGGGATAATTTCATTGTGGAGTTGATGGATGCTGATGATGAACTGTCTCACAATACAGTGACTGTGAATGTAAGATCCACCTCTTTTAATGGTGAGGGTCAGTTAGAGGAAAGGTGGGGAGACAGAGGAGCGGAACACAGTGAACTTCATGAAGACACAAGAGAGACGCAGCCAAGTAATAAGCAAGATGCTCATGGAGTAGAAAAGATACCGGACCCGAACTCTCACAAACCACAGTGCTTGTGCGATATTATGCTCTTTTCGCCCAGAGCCTACGTTCCAAGGAAGCAAAAGCCGAAAGAAGGCCCTAAGGTCCCTTTGGATAAACCTCACACCGATCACGTTGCTGTCAAGGCAGACAAGGAGGTGGGAGAACTTAATCCGTGTGGGCAACAGGTACGTTCCCGTGGGCTGCTTGGGGCTCCGAGCTGCGACTGAGTTGGGTTTTCCTTGCCAAAAGTAACGGGCACTCAGAAGCGAATGTCGTTTATTAGCGCTCACGAGTAAGTGCTTTCCCATCACAGGGGTTTCTTTATTCCCGTACTCCAAGACGAGAGTGTTCAGGGGGGTGTTGGTTTGGGGTTTTTCTGGGTACAAGAAGGCCTTCTGGTTTAGTATTCACACACCCCGCTGCGGGCTGAAAGAGTTCTGCGGCCGTCTGCCTCACCTCTCCCGTGCGTGCGGGTGTGCTGGCCGTGAAACAGCCAGCCCAGCTCTTGGCGGCCTGCGCAGAGGCGGGGAGGAGGGATCTTTCCCAGCTGTAGGCCAGGGCGGCTCTGAAGTTAACCAACCGTGCAGCTGCTGGTGAGGTGCGAGTCCTGGCTTTCCTACAGAGTGTCCAAACTTCTGTCGAATTCAGCGGGACCAGGGTCTTTCCCTGGGCGTCCAGTCTGCAGAGCTTGTTCTCAACTCCGCCCGCGCTGGGTGGTATTTACAGCTGGCGGAGCACATCTCGGGGAAAGTGGCGTGTTCCCTGGTGGTTACCCCAGGCAGCCGGTGACAGCGTGCCGTCCCAGGGCGGGAGCTCCCTTGGTCCCCAGAGGAGTCTCTCCAGGTTGAGCGAGTTAATTGGTCCATTCTCCCTCACCGTTGTCAAGCATGTTTTCCTCTATTAAAAAAAAAAAGTCCCCTTTATGATGAGCTTTGATTTAGATAAGGAATATTAGATAAAATTTAGATATCGATTATTGCTAACGATTTGTGCCTGAGCAGAAGATGCTGCCGGGGACGTTGTTACGGATCTGAGCACCTGGTGGGTGCAGGCTCTGTGTGTCGGGTGCCTTTCCTCAGCCGGCGTTAAATCGTCGCGAGATCTTTGGTGAGGTCGGGGCTGATGGTCTCATTGCGAACATCATTAAAGAGAAGATCAGGAGTTGGTAACTGGAGTTGTGAGGAGAAACCGCGATTGTTTGGGATCTTAAAACCCCTTTTTCCGAGAAGCTTTTTTTAAAACACAGTTGTGTTTCAGACCCGGCTTTCCGCACTGCAAGGCCAGCGCAGCTGCTTGCGGGCTGTTTACTGCAAAGGGAAGGTGCTGCCGCCGTGCGGGTGTCAGTGCTTTGTGATCTCAGATGCAGCCATTTCATACTGCCTAAATTTTAGTGATAATGCAGCTAACAAATATTCTTTTTTTTTCCTGGATTAACTTTTTTTCTGAACAGTAACAGGAGAGATGACAGCGTCAGAGGTATGGCGTGGTGTTGGTGGGTTTTGTGAGGAGCTGTTTTGATTTCCTGGAGGTCTTGGCCAATGACTTTGTCTTCTGAAAGTCAGCGTTAAGTTACTCAAACGTTTCTATAACTTAAATTCCTGTCCTCACTTGAGCGTTAGACTCCAGCTTGATTACTCTTCAACGTTTGTGTGTGCAATGGTCATTGGCAGTTTTTCTGATCTGGAGGATGGTGCCTAAATATCTTCTCGAGTGATACAGGAGTTAATTTCTATTTTGCTAATACCTTGGTGATGTTGCTTAGTCTGATTTGAAAAATACTTCTTTTTTTTTTTGCTAACAGAGTAACGTCTGCCTAACCAGCTGGAGAATTAAAGTGATGGACGGTAACACTGCGATATATGTTGAAGGAAAGCGGAAGTAAGCAAAAGTTTTCTGATGTAAATGCAACGTAAAACGTGTTGGTGGGCTTTCAGCGCCTGAGCTAGAAAGGCTGAACCCTCTCCGCCTGGCTGAACAGCTGTAGCTTTGGGACCGGCCTTCCGGGAGGGTCCCAGTAACGGCTGGGAGCAGCTCCACGCGCTTCTGCCGCTTTCCTCCCCAGCCACAGGGCGTGCGGCCCTTGGCTCGATCCTGCCCCCTCCTGCCAGTGCTTACAGCTCTCGCTGTCTCTTTTAAACGTCGTTCTCTCTCTTCCGACGGAGCGCGCTGAGCCCGTTGGCTGCGGAGCCTGCGGCGTGGCAGAGCTGGGGCAGGGGGAAGGAACCACAGGGGTCCTTGGCTTGGGTGGCCGTGGGAGCTGGACCTTCATGGAGCTTCCTCTTAGCCTTTGGCAAACACAGAGAGATGTTGTAGCTGGAAGTTCTTTACCAGGGAAGGGGTGAGTTCCTCCATATGTGGAGGAGGTAGAGTGCCCACGTACGGGAAACTGCTGGCTAAATAATTACTTCAAAGTCCCGTCCCGAGTCGATCAAAGAGCCTAAGAGGAATAGACACATGGGTTTGTCCAGGAGATCCCCCAAAGTGGTGCTGACTGGGGGCCTGCTGAGCTTCTGCTTCATTTCACGAAAGTTCTCTTTTGTGGCTGTTTGAAGTCAAACTCGGTGCAGGCTGCTGTCAGCTGTATGCTCCTGCCGCATCATCTGTGACGGCGCTGTTACCCCTACAGCTCTCTGGTGAGCCGTGGCAGCAGCTGACCCACCTGCAAACGGACTCTGTGGGGTTTTGGGTTACGGTTTTGGTCAGGGTGTACCCAAATAGCTGTAAGATCAGGAAAATCGGTGTCAAGCCAAGGGAGGGATATAGCTTGCCATAAAGCTGTCTGGAGACATGGTGAGAATATACCCTTGGGAAAGCGCGTGCTGCTCGTCCTGTGGTTGGTGACCACCGGGCGCAGCTGCTTGTTCCTGAAAACTCAGACCCTGCCCAGCAGCAGCGGCGCTGGGAAGGCAGAAACTCGCTGTGTTTGCCGGGCGGTCCCAGGAGGCTGCGCATTCTCTGCTGGGATTTGTAGTAGGAACTGGCGTTTCTGTCGTGGCTGTGTGGGAACAACTGATCCTCCCACTTTGCCCCCTTCACTACTAGCAACACTTCGCGTCTCGTTTGTGTGGGTGGGTGTCTGATACGTGTCTCCTCACACACAACACGTTGGGTTTGCTTCACGGACCCGCTGGATTGCTTCTGGCAATGCTTTGTAACCGGTTATGCAGTTGGATGTTTTCCCTGTGGTCTGGGGTTTTGGTCCTTAACACTGTTCTGTCCTTTGGTCTTTGGGTGACTGTTGTGAAATTATATTTAAAAACCAAGCAAACAAAGAAACAAACAAAACCCCCCAACACTGTAGATTTTCTACTTTAACGTTTGGGTCTGGTTTTTATTTCTTACGGAGGGGACCCTTAATAATTTCTTAAGAGCTCCAATTTTTGCACATATTAGGACTCCTTCCTCAGTTGCTCTTGTCTTTCAATAGGAAGGTCAGAAATAAATATAATAATCCTGGGGAAAATTTACATTTGACCGTACAATGGCACTTGTAACCCACATAATGGTATCACTGCAGGACCGAGCCGGCTGGAGTCCTTTAGCCCGTGGTGCTTCTGCAGCCCAATGTCAAGCTAATGTGCTGTGACCGACGTCTGCAGTGGTGCCATGTTCACTGTGTCCCTGTGCAAGTATTAGTCAAGGCCAGAACTGTTTCTCTTCCAAGCCCAGAAAAGAAAACCTGGCACGTGCTGCCAGTGTCCATATCGCTCATAAAACCTGTAACACGGCCAGTCTCTTACGGAATATCAATATTCTAGTTTTAATTTCCTTCTTCTGTGAAAACAGCGCTTAACTTCTGTTCTTCGCGTTACCTGTCTTTCCTTAGAGATCTGAAAGATCTGCACTGGCACAGCAACGCGGTGGTGGAACGCATAGCGCGCAACCAAGTTAAAACATCATCTGGCAGCGTCTACTTGCTCCAGGGAAATATAGATTCAGCTTCGATGAGAAAAGAAGGTAAGGAGGTGGTTCTTAGCGCAACGCTGTGCACTGAGAAGGGCGTTAGTCTGCGATGGCGCGTACGGCTGACGCGAACGGTTCGCCTTGTCCTGCTCGCTGGCTCGGCGGGTATTCAGCACCTGCTGGAAAGCGACTCCGGCCGCGGGTTTCTGAGCGCTGTCTGACGCTAACTGTAGCTGGCCCTTTGGGCTGCTCAGTGAGAGAGGGCTTTCTCGGCATGAATCAGCTGGCTAATGGGTACTTTCTTCTGCAGAAACTGGTTTTTTTGCTAAGGTTGCCTCTATCTAGTCTTGGTCAACGATTTGGCATGTAGCTAGTGCTAAGACACTCAAGTAGGGGTTGTCTGTACGCTACTGACGTTACTCTGGTGTCCTCGTTTTAGCTTTGACTTACTGTTCAGTAATTAACGACCAGCTCTGCGATGCCACGTGGAATTTCTGTTTGGAGACAGGTAGTGCTGGTGTTGGTGCTTTGTAACTTAGAAAACTGATCTGTCTTTAGGGTCAAAGCAGCATGTTGTACCAAATCCAGCGAAACCTCCTGCTTCAGATGGCTTTGAAGCGTGTGGGATTGTAAAGGAAATTGAATTTACACGCAGAGTTAGGCTAGGCTTTGTCCTGGTTTTCTTGCTCCACGTGCATCCTCCATCACGGTCACTAGGACACGAGCTGCCGTGTGGGTGCTGGCCGGGCAGCGCCGGGAACGTACGGACCATCCGTGGCGTGGCTGGAGCGAGCGCTTGCCCGCATCAGCCAGGCCTCGGGCGTGTGGCGGCCACCCGCTTTCTGAAGGAGCAGGGGGGCACTCTTCGCTCCGGCGGGCCCGGCCCG